TAGCATCTCATTGTTTTTTCCTCTCATTTTCTCCATGTGCTTTTAGCTTAAAGAGTTACTTTCAGAATGTCTGTTTCACGTCGTTATTACTTTTTAAATGATGTCGCTATAGAATGTGGTGACAGTGTCACACTCCAGGAGAGACGCAGGCCAGAAGTCAGCATTACGAACTGCTTCCTAGTCTCCTCCCTTGGCTTCCACTTTGGGGTCCTTTACCCCTTTCTCCATGAGTCCTTCTTCCTCAGGGGGACACACCTGTGTTTGTTTAGTTTTGCTTTTTTTGAGACAGGGTGTCGCTCTGTGTCCCAGGCTGGGGCGCAGTGGCGTCATCGTAGCTCACTGAAGCCTCGAACCCCCGGACTCAAGCGGTGCCGCCACCTGAGCCTCCCACTTCCAGGATTCCGGGCGCGCCCCCGCGCCGGCCTTTATTTACCTCTGTCTGAACGGAAGCCCAGCGTTGGGTGGCAGGAGAGATGCCACCTCTTCCTGCCTCTGAGAACGGTCCCCAGGGCAGGGCACTGCGCGATGGGTGTCCCCTTACTGCCCTCGCGTGGTGAAAAGCGGGCATTGCTGAGAGGAGATAAACCGAAAGACGTGAATTCAGCCCACCCTTCTCCAAATGACTAAAAGGTCAGGAGCTCCGAAGGATGTATTGACGTTTATGATGGTCACTGAGACATGAAGGAAACCCTTGAATGCTCTCAATCAGCTGCCTTTTTATTTTATTTTATTTTATTTTTCGTAGAGTAATGCAATACAAGATAGGCGCCTTTTTAAAATCAGAGGGATGCGGCATTTAAAATTTTTACTTAAGATCCCATGGGGAATTAAAACAATAACTTCTCCTTATGTAAAAAGATAATTTGATGAATGTTTTTGGTTTTCTTTTAAATAGCAATTTGGATTCCCTGAAAATTCCCTAGGTCGGCATCTTTAGTCACTGTGTGATTTTATTTTTTTTATTTTTATTTTTTGAGACAAAGTCTCGCTCTGTTACCCGGGCTAGAGTGAGTGCCGTGGCGTCAGCCTAGCTCACAACAACCTCAAACTCCTGGGCTCAAGCGATCCTCCTGCCTCAGCCTCCCGAGTAGCTGGGACTACAGGCATGCGCCAGCCTGCCCGGCTAATTTTTTCTATAATTTTTAGCTGTCCAATTAATTTCTTTCTATTTTGGGTAGAGACGGGGTCTCGCTCTTGCTCAGACTGGTCTCGAACTCCTGAGCTCAAACGATCCACCCACCTCGGCCTCCCAGAGTGCTAGGATTACAGGCGTGAGCCACCGCGCCCGGCCTTCCCAAATTAATTTCTTTCTATTTTGGGTAGAGACGGGGTCTCGCTCTTGCTCAGACTGGTCTCGAACTCCTGAGCTCAAACGATCCACCCGCCTCGGCCTCCCAGAGTGCTAGGATTACAGGCGTGAGCCACCGCGCCCGGCCTTCCCAAATTTTTTTGACCATGGAATCTTTTCACTCTGGAGCATATTGCAGTACGAGTGTTTCCAAACTTTAGGGGAAGCTACATTCTAATATATCCCCCAATGCTGGGGCGCAACTGGGCATTCACATAGGATGGCAGTGTGTCCAACCAAGTAAGATGCATTTTGGCATCTAGTAGAAGGAAGGGGGCAGGGGTCAAAACTGCCATTGTCCAGTTCTTTCTGTTCCCCCAGCCCATCGTTTAGGACCTAACCTAGCAGAGGCTCTGCACAAGGCTCCCCTTCAAAGCCATCCCCGTGAGGGTAACAGGAGTGGGGCCTGTGTGCCAGGCCTCCTTCAGCATGGCTCAGCCTCTGCCCAGGCTTCCTGGGGCAGCTCAGTCCTCTCCTGGCTGGGCCTGCCTGAAGCGGTGTCTGGCACAGCCCTGGCTGGGAGCTGGCGGAGCCAGGCGCCCTGCGGGGAGCTCAGAACCCAGGCTATACATTCACGGGATTCCTGGCCGGCCAGGGACCCCCGCCAGGTGGGCCCACTCTTCTCATCCCACAGACTTCATTTATGTGCTCTTCCGCGGGCCTTGCCAGTACAGCCTTTGCTTTCCATTCCCCTGCAACGTTTCAGAAACCAGAAAGCAGCCCCGTGTTTCACTCCAGAGAGAGGGAGGGAGAGAGAGGGAGGGAGAGAACCTTCGTTCAGGGAAATGGCCAAGCCTCCAGGTGCCAGCTCAGGCGCAGGTTATCAACAATACGTCTGTGCAGAGGCCCTGCTTCCCGCAAAGGTGGGCCAGACCCTGCCTTCCAGACTGTCCCCGGCTGGAGGGAGGCGTGATGCCAACACGGAACAAAGAGCAAAGTCTCCACGAAGTGTCGGATTCTCTGGAATGGTCACAGGCCAGGAGGGATGCGGAGGACAAAGGCAGCAGCAGTGGACGAGTCAGGAAGCCTCTCACAGAGAGAGCAGAGCTGCTTCTGGAAGCATTGGTACAGGCCTTCTCCTGGCCAAGCTTCCCCCCTTTCGGTAGCGGATTACGGACAGCGGGGTCCTGGGGGTGGTAGAGGGTCAGGCAGGCGGCTATTCACCAGCTGATAAGCAAATGTTTACCATTGTAATAGCTCGCACAGGCGTAACAGTGCTCACCGCCCGAATGTCAACCCGGACACGGCGATCTCCTGGCCGTATTCTATGCAGATACACGACGCCCCATTCTGGGAACCTTTCAAAGCTTCTCTCGGCTAACCCATCGTACACCCCAGTGGTGATGGTGGAGGGCAAACGTTTCATGCCCCCTTGTGTGGCGTGCGGGGAAAGCGAGATGCGAGAAGGGTTTACAGTTTATCACTTTCCCTGCAGACTCCAGGAAGTCATCGGCCGAGCTGGGAACAGGCACGAGGCCAGTGATGCTGATAAACTCTGCACGGCGACTCCGTGTTTCCTAAGTGGGCAGCTCCTGCCAGACCCGATTTCATGGGGGGACCTTTAGACCCCGTTTCCATAGAGATGGATCACGTTTCCGTGGCGCGAGAGGGAAAATGGTGTCCACGTGCTCCTTGACACTCTGGCTGGACACTTAGAGAAACGGATGTCTTCCACAGGGAAATCGGGAACCAGAAAGGATTTAGAAACGTTCCGACTCGCAATGATATCTCACCTGTCCCTGGTGCCAAAAAGGTTGGGGACCGTTGCTTCTAAGAGCTCTGGGACCCACAGGCCTCGGGCTCCGTGTTTCGCTGGGCGGTGGGTTTCAGCTGGGGCAATGCATTGTGAGCAAAGGGGCTCCCTGGTTACTGTCCACATGGCCCCTGCGTCCGTGTGGGCGTCACCCTGATGGGTATCCAGTCATTAGGGTCGCTCCTGGCCTGGCGTTTGAATCAAGAACCCCAGCGATGCACTTTTCCTCCCGGTACCAGCCAGGCTTCAGCCTTGAGGCCTGGGGCCTGAGCCCCCCGGGCAGAGGCGAGGAGCTCTCTGCAGCAGGCCCCTGGGCTCTGCAGTCCTCACTCTGGGGATTCTCAGCAGCAGCTCCTTGGGTGTGAGTGTTGGAAAGGCCACTGCAAAAGCATCCCGGCTGGGGGGCCCTAGCTGCAAGCTCTGCTTCTGGAGAGGTTTGCCAGGCGCCAAAAACATCTCCGGTGCTCGGGCCAGGAGCTGCCATTGGAAAGCGCAGCCAGGACCCCTCCCACTCTCCCCCAGTGGCATCCCAGCTCCTGCCTCTCTCTTCCCTCCCTCCCGCCCTCCCTCAGAAGTGAAGACAGGCTGCAGGACGCCTCGTCTGCCTGCGGTGCCTGGACGGAGCCCCCCCCTCTGCAAGGATGACTTGGAGACGGGTCCTGCTCCTGTCCTGCCTGTTGGCCACGGTGCTCCTGGCTGGCGAATATGGGAGGGTCCAGGGACAGTGTGGGCTACACAGGGAAGAGACCCGCCTTCTGCAGGTGAGTCTGCTCAGGTGGCACAGCGAGACAGGGGCATGCTCATTGCTGAGATGGCCGTGCTCGGGATGTGTGTCGCGCATATGTGCGTGTGTGCGATACGATGTAATACACAGGGAAAGAAAACCACAGCAAGGAAAGAAAAAAGTAGGAAAAACCCCAAACCAGCCTCCTGGGTGGGTTCCTGGGGAGACTGGCTCTGTGGCTGGTATGTGAGGGACCCAGGGCCCCATGCCAGGGCCTGGCAGGCCACTAAAGCCCGGAAAGGACCATGAGGCTCAGCTCGGGGGCCGAACCCCACCCCGAGGCTGCAGCCTCACCCTGTGCCTTCTCCCACAGTGCTGCGGGAGGGGACTGGTGCGTCAGGGGGCACCAGGCTGGCAGCAGGAGAGGAGGCCCAGGACGGTGAGTGCGGGGGCCACCTCGGGGGCAGAGCAGGTGCGGCCAGCGCCCAGCAGCCCTGGCGCCCCCGTGCTGGCTGTGACGGGCCTCTGCTCCTCTCTCGGCTCTCAGGTGTGGAACAGAAGATTTTCACGCAGGAATCAGATGCCTCGAATTTCCTCAAGAAGCGCGGCAAGCGGTCCCCCCATCCAAAGATGAGGTCAATGGTAAGCATGGCGGGAAGGGCCTCCCGCCCTCTGCTCGCACCCCGGTTCCTTCCTCTCCCACACCCAGCCAGCCGCAGGACGCAGTGGGGGACTGAAGCTTTCGGGTTTCCAAGTGACTGCAGCTCTGAATTAGAAATGACACCACACCCCCTTGATTGCAGGTCGAGTGTCGGACTGAATGCGTTGTTGGGGTAAGGAGCGAAAACAAACAGCATTCACATCAAATGCACCTGGCAGGATGCACCCTGATTCCAGAAAGTGACAATTGTAAGGGGGATTGTATGTTTTAGTCTGGAGGGAACACAACACGCCAGCCTGTGCTTTGGGGAGCTGTTAGTCCTTCTCTGCAAGAACAATGGCATTGCACGCAGGGAAACTGGGAGCCGAGAAGCGTGGGTTCGAGGACAGCTTTGCTGCTGAGTGGCCCCGCCGCTTCCTCTCCCTGGCCCAGTTTCCTTAGCGATAAGCCCTGGCAGAGCGGTGCTCAGCGAACAGACTTTCCAGCCTTCATTTCCGATGCATCGGGGTGAGCGTGTCCTTTGCTGTGAGGCCTGTGGCCCCCACTGCAGGGCACTCACGCCCTGGACCTGCCCACCCTTGGGGGAACGTGAGTTTTCTTACCCCTGAACCCGATTCTTCCCAGACGCCGAGCTCGGACTGTCCCGACCACGTCTGTGGCTTGATTCTTGCCTTGCGCGCGTGTGTGAATGAACCCTTTGTGTCCCCCAGCGTGCTCTGCAAAGTGACCTGCTCAGGGAAAGTAACGGGACTGTTTTCGAATGATAGGGAAGGACAGAGATAGAAATGCTTAGAGATGAATTTTTTATTTTAAATTGGATAAGTATAAACACACCAGGAAAAACTCTAGGCCTCACACAACTTGGGATATAAAAGTTGGCCAATGTCAAGAAACACTGAAAAGATGGGATGGAGGCTGGGTCCTTCTTGATTGAAATCAGAGAAAGGACTTTCTGGCGGACTTCCGGGGTGGGGGCGGGGGAAGAGGCGCTGTTGTAGGACAAGCAAGTGTCTTCCATCGTCTCTAGCTGACTCTGAACACGAGGTGCATGGTTAGGGCTGAGGGCCTCACCTCGGTGGCAGCTCGGTGTGTCAAGGCCGGGACTGCACACGGGTACATCTGCTGTCACCCGGCCAAGGGGCGGGAGGAGAGTGATTTCCTCGGGTTCGGTAAAGGGCAGGTGACTCGGGTATCTGACATCTCTACGCTTCTGGGCTAAAAGCGCAGGTTCCCGCAGGGTGAGAAGAGAATCGGGTGAATGCATATTCTTGAGAAGTGACCCATACAACACACAGAATGACGCATAGTATAAAACACCATCTTCCCTTGGGAATTAAAGTCTTCTTATTCGTTGCTACAAAGGTCCAATTAGTGGCCCCTCTGAAGAGGCAACCTGGGGAGACTGTTTCTTGTCCTGAGCACATAAGGGATGGAGAGTATTTCTGTAGGAATTGTCGGTGGCTCATTAAGCAGCAGCTTCCTAAACCCTCAGCCCCCACACCTCCCACGGTGGCTCTCTGTGCCTGGAGCAACGTCAGATCTTGAAGGGAACCTGCTGTGCAAGTGTGTTCTGGGTCAGCAGCGGGGGTGGGGGCCTGGTGCTCCGGGCTCTGGGCCCAGCTCTGCCCCAATCAGCTGTGTGGCCCCCCATTTGGTCACTGCACCTCTCTGAGCCCGAATCCCCTCCTGAGAAAGATGTGGATGTGGGGTGAGGGATGGGGCACGGGGATGGACTGGCCAAGCCGCCCCTTCTGCAGACTAAAGTTTCCTGCAACTGCACAGGTGGCGGCAGAAGTCTGGGAAGAAACATGGGACTTATAGGAATCTGCACTAAACCCAATTCACACGTGATTTCATTTTCAATCTGAGTTAGATGCAATCATAGAAACAGAACAGAAATAGCCAGTATTTATATGATTTATTTATCAATGGAAGCTCCTTACTTCCAGGAAGGATTGGAGATGGTTTCCAGTATCGCCATCTGCAAAGAAAGACTCACCGCTTGTCACAGCACCTCTGGAGTGCGGGGTGGGGGTAGGGGACCGAGACTCACTCACTTTCTCTGCTTCCTGCATCCCCCCTCCACTTCCTTTTGCACACTGGGGTTGCTGGGGCAACAGCAGCACCTCTGTCCCCAACCTTGATGTGAGGGGGCTCAGAGGGGAGGCCATGAGGCGCTCTGAGGGCCTGCCTGCCTCCAAGGAGTTGACCATTTCAGGGAAGCCCAACCGCAATCCCTCCCAAACCACAGCCCCACCCCCAAACTAGACTCAATGCGCTGCTGGCGTCCCCTGATGTGTCCCCTGAATGCCCTCCTTCTGGGACAACTCCTGCCTCTTGTCCCTTCACAGCGGAGAATAGGCAGAAGCTGCGGGCTGATGAGCTGCGGAGAGAACATTTCGAGGAACAAAGGAACGAGTCTGAGAACTTCGTGGAGGAACAGAACGATGGTGAGTGCTCTTCCGCCAGCGACTGCGGGGACGTCGAGGGTCGGGGAGACGCCATTTCCGTGCCACAAATTTTAATCGGAGGAGGAAGGGAAGGCAGGATCTCCTTCCAACTCTCAGCCATGGGAGCCGTGAAAAGAAGGGAGAACATGGGCACACGGGACTTGGGAAGGTGGGGAAGGGACAGCATAGCATTGTCACCGTTGGCCTCGGGGCTGCAGGGACAGGGAAACGGCCGCCTGTGTGGGTATAAAACTCCTTTCCCGCCCTCCTCCTACTTAGGGATCACTGTGTTCTCTGTGGCTTCGCTCTGGTCCGGCTGGATTGGGCAGGTTTCAAACTCACGTTCAAGAGCCTTGGATTCCCGTCAGTGTGACAGCTCCAGGTACCGCTTCGTCCTGGAAAATCAAGGCTGTCATTGACCCATTCGCTGTGATCGGCGTCACCCTGGCTGGTGGAAGCAAACCAGGAAAGTTGTGCTCAGACAGCGCTGGTGTTTGTCACCCTGCCTTGTCTCCAGACCCCAACACTGGCATCCCCAGCCAGTCTGAGGCTCCAACTCGCTCGATAGTGTCGGGCGCCCTGAAAGATTTGGTGTGGTTTGCACCAGGGCCTCGGTGGAGGATAGATCAGGGTAGGGATGGGGCAGAGGGAGGCCCTGTCTTTGAGCTACCGCCTCCCACGGGGTGGCATTTCACTTTGCCACTAAGTGCCCTCGAGTCCTCAAGTGTCGCCGCAGCGAAGCTCCTTAGGAGCACATAGTGGGCATCAGACCAGCAGGCCAGCGTGTGTGCGTGAGTTTCTTTCTTTTTCGGTCTTTCTCCAAACTCGAAGGTTGAAATAGCTCTCAACAAAATCACCTGGTACCTCCTGGCTGCACGTGAACTTGGATGTGGGGCCCCACTTTGGGTTACCTTTCTTAGAGAATCAGCTCTTTCGGTTCTCCTGGCTTGTTTGCCTGGACAGATGGGGAAGGGAACACCCTCCAGGGGCATCTCTTAGTGACAAGGACAAAGGCTACCCCCAGCAGGTACCAAGGGCCGCAGGCGGGGCCCATTGCCCTGCACGTGGCGCCTGACCAAGCCCTGCACACAGGTGCTGGACTCATCCTGGTCAAGCAAACTCTCCTGGGAACACACCGTGCAAAACTCGTGTTGTCACAGGGCAGAGGCAAATGCTTCTTAGAGGTTTGTTTACCTTGGTGGACAGCCTGGGGAGAGGCATTTAAAAATGAAAGTGTGGCCTCAAAATTCCTTCAGTGTGCTTTTTACTCATACTATTAACAATAGCACTTTGTTTTGTGCAGAGTTTCAGGACCAACCTCTAGCATGTGGGTGCAAAACATCACTGCTTCCCCTTTCATGGTGAATCGGGGTGCAGGGCGAGGCACCCGCGGGACGACAGGCCCTCTCGCAGGACAGGAAGACCAGGTGCGCAGGCCTGGCACGCAGGGACGGAGAAGACGCCAGACCTGTGGGGACGGTCGTCTCCACAGCGGTTGTTGCTGAGCCCTCGCTGTGCCAGGCACCGTGGGAACCACTGACTCTCACACCCAGCCTCTGAAATGGGTCTTGCGATTTGCGTTTCACGGTTTCAAAAACTGAGGCTTGGAAAGGATGCACGGTACCCCAGGCGTCCCAGCCAGCGGGAAGTCCTGGGGCTGGAGCTGAGGCTTGCTTGCGGGCAGTCAATACAGGGCGCTCTCGGAGAGCTTCTGGGAGGCAGCAGTTGGGCTGCAAGCGCGGACAGAGCGAGGGAGGGAGAGCGAGGCCGCCCAAAGAGGTCTCCCCAGAGCTCCATCCAGGAAGCAGCCAACAGGCAGAGCAGACCCAGCCACCCAAGGGTAAGTTTTGAAAAAGGTGAAACTCATGTCAACCCCTCCCTTTCCCTGGCCTCTGGCCTGGAGTGACCATTGCGCAGGGACTCCCAGGGCAGTGCTCAAAGCGTCTGTCTCCCAATCCCTTCCCTGAGGCCCCGGCACCCCCTCCATCGGGACCCTGATTTCAGCAAGCCGTCTCGTCGGACAGAGTCACTTCCTCTGGGAATAACCGACAGTTGGATGTTCGACCTGTCCCCGAGTTACTTGTTTCATAAAAGAGATGCCTAGTCAACGTCCATGTCAAAATCACGCTGTCAAGGTTGGCCAAGCGTCGCTGGTCTGCAGGGCTTCAGAAACGTGTGAAAGGGCCGAGGCGAACACCCAGCGCCCCAGGCTGTCCCTGGTTACCCAGCACCTAAGTCGCGTAGGAAGGAAACATCCCTGGCAGCATGGTACCTGCATGCACAGCGGTCACTGGGCCCGTCACCTAATAGGGCTGAGGTCAGTGTCGGCCCAGGCCTCTGGCCCCACAGGCACTGGAGACCACAGGGACACCCTTTGTCTTCACGCCCTGAAGCCGGCAGACCGTCCCCTTGGCCAACACCGAAATGGTTCAGCATCATTTGCATGGGTCGCTAAAATTAGTCACAAATTCGTATGCGAATGACGTACCTTTAGCATCCCGTCCCGCTCCCACTTG